TGAAAGAAAACTTCCTCTCAGAGATAAAACGGGACATGTAACAAGACTTTTCTATTTTTTAATTTATGATAAATTCATCGCAAAAGCGCATGCATCGGTTTTGTTTTCCTCAACAACTACGTACGTGACTTTGGTCATACACTTTTTGCGTGTATAAATAAAATTGAAATTTTCCATACATTATTCTCGTGGCGATAGCTATAGTAACTTGATAGAGAGAGATTATGGACAGGACGCTCCACGGAGGCCTTAAAACCCAAAAAGTGAATAAAAGTCAGTAAACCGACCAAAAAAAAAAAAAAAAAAAAAAAAAAAAAAATGGCGCTGCGCTTTGTTTTTGTTATTGATGATGGGAGGGAATTGCCAACTGTTGGCGGTACTACCAGCTACACTCCCCACCGACCTTACTTTATTTAAGCTAAATTTCCTTGAAAATAGCACCCGATTCGCCGTAAAACTATGTGAGCACGTCCTAATGATGTATTTAAGGTCCCGGTGGGACATACGTAAATAATACCACATTTTAGGTCATTTTGTAACTACATCTGCTTACAAAGTCCGACATCTCTTGGTCCTAAGAGCTCCATGAAGCTCTAGATGGAAGAGCCAATCAAAAAAGACCCTTTTGTGGCGATACTCAGCGGTAGCCAACCACCGTCCAGTGCGTCTTGCGTCACTGAATGTTGGTTGGCTACCGCCACTATAGCGAGAGACGCACTAGATAATGGTTGGCTACCGCTACCGCTGAGTATCGTCACAAGGGGGTCACTTTTCATTGGCTCACTGGGTGGTGGCTGGTTACCGCCACTATAGCGAAATACATACTGCTCCAATACTAGATGGTGGTTAGCCACTGCCACACCCAATTGTAATCATATCGTGACCGCAGTGTAATCGGTCATTTTTAATCTACGATACTGGTTCATTTAATTGGCGCTCAAATGAAAAGTATGATTGATAAACATTTTACATATTAAAATGGAGCATATTGTTTGGACATAGCAAATATACCGGTATTTAATCCTTTTGTATGAGTATGTGACCTTCCACAAAAGAACGGACCTTTAGCTACAAAAAAAAGTACAGCGAAATCCTATTCTCCAGTTAGTGCAATTAACGGGCGTAAGGTTGCAAATTTGGCAATTTAATACCCTGAAAATGGTACATTACTTTGAAAATGTCAAATAGCTTTCCCCCAATACTTCATTTTATGATCTGTAAAACTTAACAATAACTAAAAGGATACTCATTCTAATTTGCGAGAAATCTCGAAAACTGGTCCGGGAGCATGACAGAATATTTCCAATCTATAAATAGAAAATCCAGAAAAAACCGGAGTGCAGAAAAGTGTGCTCCTGTTTGTTTAACGCTCCGCTGGTGACCTTTTCTGCGAGTTCGTTCCCCTTATCACCTGACGAAAGTGCGTCGGTATGAAGCGTGACCGAAAAAAAGACCGAGTGAGAAAGTAATTAATTAACTTTTTATCGGAAGCATTTGACGCAGTCATGGAGAATCAAAGGAAGTCGGGCAAGCTCTCCAGACCGATAAACACAGTAAAGAGTGTTACGAGCTATCTTCACGGAGAAAAGAGGGTTTTTCATCATACTATTTTTTTACAACTTTTTCTTCAATTGCACACACATATTAATTGCTGAATTAGCTATAAAGTGCTGAGTTATCTCTGTCGTACCAACCGTTGAAGCCTAACAAATTCAAGTATTAAAATTAAAGTTTCAAAAATAAAAACTATTTTTATTAATTTGAATGGATTTTTAATTGTTCACGTTGAACTTAGACATGTCTCGGTTAAACAGAGGCCCTTTACTCATCAATGAAATTCAAAATATTGTTATTGAATCGATTTTTCTCTTCTCGCAAGAAAATACATTTGTGAGGCTTAACTAAACATTTTTTAAAGGTATTGTGCGTGCAAGAAAATAAACCCCTTATATCTCTTTGCTCTCCAATTTACCCTATGCATTATGGTTTCTACTGTTCTGGAAAAGAGTCTCGCTGTAATGAATTTTTTTTTATCTTGCCTTCAATATTCATAGAGATAGGGGAAAAAATACGAAGTAAGTAAGAAGACTCACTCACGCACTCGAAATAAACATTCCATACTTTTGCTGATGAAAAAGTATGCGTGTTGGACAAATTACTTCTATACCTTCTGTACCATATTAATCGTGCGACAAACGCTCCTGTGTTATATCACTTAGGTCGTGTTAGTTATCGGATTTCCTCTGTATAGTTAATCGTTTTCTACACGCAGTGGACGATCAATTATCTACATATGCTTATTGTGTATTGTTCTTCAACTTTCAACTAGGATTACGCTCGTTATATTATGCTTGTATTTGTTAATTAAATGACGTATCCTCATGCGTACCTCATTCGAATCAACAAAAATGATGTTTTAAGAATGACGAATGAATACATACGTTGATTCAATCCGCAAATATCATTTTCGAGAAGGTCAGGGACCTCATTTATAGTTCTGTCTGGGCTATACTGCGCTAATCTGTCCTAAAAAAATCGGCGGCGAACAAAAGTAATCAACATGATAAAACGTCCACGCGATCAATTTCGCGTACGTAATACCTTGTTTGGATGTACTAGTAATAGCGTCACCGAATGGACGTTATGCTTCATTGTGAAAACATACAATTTTTGAACAGTTTGTTTCATTCGTGATGGTAAAAACTGAAACCATGGCAGTTTTAAGCATACAGTTTTGAAAACGCAGTTTGAGGAAAAAGCCATCCAAAGTTCCATCCATCAAGTTCAAAGCTCAATGATATTTTATTGAAATGCGACTTTATAGGCACAAAAATTACCTGAACTCTACGCATTTATTATTTAAAACATTGGTGGATGCTATCCGTCTAAACCATCATCGCTCGCAATGCTTGTTTGGTGGGTGATTGGAAAAAAACTAAGGTAATTTTCGACTCTAACAGCAAACAATAAGTTGAAGCTGCTGAGTTGTCCTATAAGCTAACTAGTAAAAAAAATTGTCCGTCGTTTTAACGAAAAATAACAGACGGATCAATTTTACATGGGGGCGTATGGGCTGACTGCGTATTTGACCGGAAAAATTCAATCGTTAGACACGGTGAGGAAAATTGTCTAAACGCATGCCTGAAATTTTGTCTGTGTTTTATTGCCAGACAAATCATGAGTGACTTCGGTTTTTCTCTATCACAATATTTACCAGAAAGAACCCCAAATCTGATGAGATAATTAATCTGTTTGATACAGTAATTATTATAACAGGTTAATATCCCGTAAGATTGAATTTCCCACGGAGGACCACCTTATCTGAGAAAAACCACGAATTTCCGGGAATTAGTAAGCACTGGAGAAAAAGATCAAGTCCACAGAGCTGAAAGTTACGATAGAAACAATAAAAACTGTTCAACAAAAAAAAAGGTAAGGTGATCCTTATGTGTATTTAGATGTCGAACCCAAATATAACCGCCTTTTTTCATCACTCTCTAATCTTCCAGATAAGCTGATTTTACTCGGAAAAATGACAATTTTTTGTGATTTGCCGACTGTTACGATTTGAATAGTAATACGTCCGTTTGATAGAAATACGTCCAAATGAGACCGCACCGCGCCGCGATGTTGCTCGCGCGGTCTGATCGCCTTTTTTAGGGGTCACGCGATAGCAGCCTCATATCGACATGACCGGCAACCGCCTTCTTTGAGGTCCGGTCACGGCAAAACCTTCTCCAACTCTCAATCTGATGTAATTTTCATTAAAATTTAATCGGAGCCGAGTGTGCGCTCCTGGCGGCTGACTCAACTTTCAGCTCCTGTTGCTTGAGACTCAAGGCAAAAATTAGAGGACCTTTATAGGGAGGGCATGGACCGGAGACAAGAGTCCTTCTACTAGTATCTTGATAATGGTGAAAGCTTTTACTTTTGGACTTCAATATTTAACTGTTGACCTACCTACTTGGTTGATGGTTAACAATAGAGTACCTATATAGCGAGAGTATGAACAGATCGCTTCATGGAGGGCTTACGGCCCAAAAGAGCAGCCAACCTTCTAACCAACTTCTAACGCACCAAATTTCACTACCAGTCTGCAGATTCCAATTCTAACCAAGATGGCTAAGAATGTACATACATGAGCGTTCTTCCGCAAAAATGAGTAAATTTGTGCAAAAACTAAGTCAAATACGTGCTTTATAAACTATGGTTGTATCAAAGAAAACTCCAGTGGCACTAGCGTGTTTCTCGCGAAATTTTTCGTAGGAACTAGTGCATAAATCGCAAATTCCTGACACATGGAAGAACTCCATTGCTCCGTTATCTTAAGCTTATATCTTATGCTTATGCTATTGCTTTCTTCAGTGCCACGACAGAATTGAGCATGAAAATAATGAGACGTTCAAACCGCAAGAGAAAGAAACTCTGAGGGCAAGAATGCCGTGCTAAGGAAGAACGCTGTATGAACCTTCAGGCGTTGTTATATTTCCTTCAATATAAAACGAATTTATTGGGAAAATTGTGTAAATTTTTCTTCAAATTTTTTAGACATTTCTGTCCGCATTTTGATCGAAAATATCTGAAAATTTCAAAGAAAAATAATCATAATTTTCCTCAAAAATACATGTTTTATTCGGGGATATTTGGCGACTCTCGAAAATTCATACGGCGTTCTTCCTTAGCACGGCAGAAGTGTGTGCAGACGCGACGGTTGAGACGGTGAATAGAACATCCAGGAGCCTGAGAAGAAGAGAATGAGCTGTCCGCACTTAGCTGAACTGAAGAGTGATGAGGGTGAGCACACTGATAAGGGTGAAAGTGAACAGTGATGGTTCGGAGTGGCGCCGGACACAGGGTGAAAGTAGGAGAAGCCCCGTTGCGTTGGGCGTTGGGGTGACATGACGTAGGAGGTGAAAGGAATGTCATAGGTGTCCACGAGACCGGAGAAGGGTCTGCATCTCTTAATTGCTCTCAGAGCAGCGAAGCTATGTTTCACTTACCGTGATAGGGCGACTAGAGGCGGCAGATTGACGCTGCACGAAGTTTTGGCCGAGAATCTGGCAACCCTGGGTGGCGTCTCTCCTATTTGTTTATAAACAAATCACTTTCCGCCCACGTGGGTTCCAGTACTGATTAACGTCGTACAGAAATTCAATGAACGGCGACGCGACCTCGCGTTGCCGTCAGCTAACGTATTCGAGAGAGCACGACCCGCAGTGGAGCGAGTCAATTGGAGAGGTCGGACATGAAGTTTTTGACTTAAACTGCAAATTTTTATGTTTATTTTATCACATTTTAAATTTCAAGGGGTGTCTCTGAACGAAAATGGAGATGTTGCATGTGTAAGGAATTTGCGATTTGACTGTTGACTCTTATGTAAAAGTCCACGAGAAACACGATGGTGCCACTGGTCTTCTCTGAAATCAACTCCCAAGCTCAAAAAAAGCTTTCAAATTGAGGCCAAAATGGAGGGGATATCCCACGCTACCCTGAGAGTTCACCTCTACATCAAGACGAACTCTCCATGCAAAGATAGGGCGCAAATATATTGACAGGGCTGCCACTTTATTTGGGGACTGTAAAACTGAAAACACGGCATCACTGCTAATGTATTTACTCCCTATCTTTGCATGGAGAGTTTGTCTTGATGTAGAGGTGGAATCTCAGGATAGCGTGGGATATCCCATTATCCCCTCCATTTTGGCCTCAACTTGAGAGCTTTTTTTGAGCTTGGGAGTTGATTTCGGAGAAAACCAGTGACACCATCGTGTTTCTCGCGAACTTTTACGTAAGAATCAACAGTCGAATCGCAAATTCCTCACACATGCAACATCTCCATTGATGTTTATTTTGTCACATTTTAAATTTCAAGGGGTGTTTTTGGAAGAACATTTTATGAGGAAACCAATGGAACCGCTTTTAGAGCCTCACAGTTTTGTATGAACGGGGTTATAAGCGTTTAAAGTTTCCGAATTTTGTCCGATTCCTCCTATTGACTCGATCCACTGTGCGACCTCCACGTGGGAAAGGAGAGGGCGAGAACTGGGCTGAAGAAAATTCTGAATTTAGATTACACAATATTGTCCAAACTGGAAACGCTTACCTACCTATTAAATTAAAGAAAGTTACAACTACAGGTAGAGCAAGAACCGAAAGCTCTTAAAACACGAACATAATTGGAAAAAATTTTGCCAGTGAATTTTGCCTACTGGCTTCTCAAATACTCCCGGCGCGGTTATCTAATCTGCTCAAAAGTGAACAAGATTTTTCTTGAGGATTTGTAGGTATATCAAAATAATCATTTCGCGCTGTCTGATAACATTTGTTGATCCTCTTGACCATCTCAAAAGCAATCGAAAATATTGATGCACTTGAAATATCGGCTGTGAGATAAAGCGGGATTCGATCTAATGACCACGAAACTCAAACCCGGGCCGCAAACCACTCGACGACCACGAGCGAAGCACCTCTAATCAATACAAAATCACTCAAAAATCATGTGCCCCGCGGCTTGTTTATAAACAAGACATCGATACCAATCTCATGTTCTAAGGGGTCGCTTTAGAGGACGCTGGGAGAACCGAGAAAGAAAAACAATCCAGTTTGATAACTGTTCGTGCATTACAGTAGTGCTCTCTGCCTATTCTTTGAATGGAAGGAGTTATTTCTGAGCATCTACATTTGTTGCTCCCGGGTGAATTTTTTACAACCGAGTGCAGCTTTATACCTGGTCAAGTGAACACATGTACTTTTTTGTTCATTGTGAGTCATGATTCCCTCAGTCCTTGAGAACTCATTTCTATTTTTAATACTGATATTTTACGATACATGCTCCTGATTTTTCTCTCAAAATCGATTAAGTTTGTCTTCTTCTGCTGACAACAAGAAATGCAGTCCTTTTTTTTGTAATAACAAAGCATCCCTCAAAAAAACTTGCCATTCAAGGAAGAAATGGAGGCTTTTGTAAAGTCTGAAGAATTCTTCGTCGGCTTTTCATGCTAATTTACAAGATCAAGATCTTCAGATTCATTGAATGAATGAACCAAAACTGCTTTCAGATCCTTTTAATGATGGTAAAAAGTTCGGGTTTATTTTTGTTGGAGCTGTCTTAAAACGAATTGCACTTCAAGAGACAGTCAGCGATCCTCTAATCAGGATTGCGAAATATTACAGAATTTTTCAGCTTTCCTACATTCAACCAGAAGTTCCACCGATATATATCAAATGTTCTTCAAATGCTCGTATTGAAATTTGACTCACTGCTGTTACCCATTTTCCAGTATTTTAAGCATGTTAAAAAATATGTGGGTTTCATTCATAGTCAAAACATCTTGGTTCATGCTTAAAGGGCGAAGAATGAAATATATTCAAGATTGTGGATAGCAAAAGATCTTAATAACACTATGTTTTCTTGGAGGAATGAACAATACGGCAACAATACTGATTCTTCCTCATGCCTAAGTTACTTTTAAGGATCAAGCTAATGATTATGCTTATGGAGAGAGTTTGTCAAACTCGGTCTTGGTCAAACACATTCAGGCAGATTTTTCAGCTCCGCACTTATCAGTCATCACCAGGTGAGGATCAATATTGATTCCTAAAAGTAATTTTTATACAATGGCGAGACAACGATGACATTTGTTTCTCAAAAGGCCAACGACGGTGAACCATAAGAGGCGTCGAAGAAACCAACAAATATTTATTCCGAAGTTAGAGAGACGGGAAATGATGCAATCGGTTGACAAAAATAAATCAGTCTCGCCATGTGGCGCTAGGTACAATATTGTTAACGCCGTGAAAAACGAGGTGAGAGGAAGACCGATTGAGGAGAGGGAAAGCAATGAAAAAACACGCCTCTGTTGCCAAATTTTATCGAAAAGACATACAGTTCGCGTAGAAAAACTCAGATTTCCAGTGACTTTTGACCACCGCGTCGTGAAAGGCTGGGTGAGAGCGCGGTATCACACCTCTGGCCCCGGTTATCAGGGAGGTTGCACCGTGCGCACCAGAAAAAAAGTTGAATGAAGAATTTTAACTTTTGACGGAGGGGAGGGGAGGGAGGAACTGATTGGCTCTGTCGGAGGGTATAAAAGGCCCGTCCGACCGCGGCTGGCATCAAACCTCTCGCGCCACACACATTACACACATGACATCGTTTAGTTTGCTCAGATTACACGGTCGATCGAAATTCATAATCATGTTGCGATTCGGTTTGCGATTGCGGGCCTAAATGCAGGATTCCCCTGAAAACCGTTTATAGTGCTTCAAGAGAGAGTGATTGCTCTTTAATTTCAAACTTTCATCATGTCCGGAGCTTGTAAGTACCAAAGTTCATATGTTTTTCTATTAATGGTCATGACTGGGTAAGAGCTATTGGCAAGGATGAGCAATAAAACAAGCCGGGAAGCTCTGATTCGTTCGTATTATGGTCCAGTTACACGATCAAATTGAGCCATCAAATTGGGCCTCTCATTGGTCGCATTCTGAATGCGACCGATGAGAGGCCCAATTTGATGGCTCAATTTGATCGTGTAACTGGACCTTTAGAGAAGCGGTCAGCCTTTTTTACGAAGGCGCGTTTTTAGTTCCCTGAAGAGGAGGAGAACTGTTGAGATGGAAGAACTTGCGCACCAAAATTTCAATCATCAATTTTGAGGGAACTACACCATCGCTAAAAAAATATAAATTAAAGAAAAACAAGTATCGTCGTTCGTGCTTCGGCATCAGAAGCATTAAACAAAAGTATCACAGCCTGTTCATTTAAGTCTTTAATTAAAAAATGTGTCAACTTGGTTCTTTTTCAATTAAAATTTTGAGAAAAAAGTAATTTTCAAGCGTACTTTTTGAGTTTGCCGATCTCGAAAAAAAATCTCATTTTGAAACTTCAATCAAAATGTTTGACGCGAATGTTTGCCGATAACTTCAAGCTAAACTGTCATGTGCGTGACAAGACATCCATGCACACTTTTTTTTCAGCAAAAGTCTAATCAGAGGACGCATTTTTTGTTCAGACATTCTGTAAAATATGGAAAAATGTCAATCTGTTTTTCCTAGTACCTTTGAAACATCATTTTTATAGGCAGGAGAGCGAACAATTTGTTTTTTAAACTTCGAAAAGTATCTAAACTACTGATTAAAAGAGAGGAAAAAACCGAGTCAAATTGATCATTTCGAACCAGGCAAAAGAGAGTTTTGATGCCAATACCATGCTCAGCACTAGTAGACCTAAAAACATCTCATTTCCGAAGCACATTAAATGTGGGCAAGGAGAGAAGTGTTTCAGTGCGATTACCAGGCATATTAGAATAAGTGCCCACGAATGGCAGGGAATGAGCTGTTATATGTATTATACTCAATTTTTAATGTCAAGAAAGACCTCAATGAAAATTTTCAAATGAACGGAATGAGATTTTGATGAATCAACCTTTTAAGAGTCTTGCTTTTTGCAAAAAATGGCTCGTGGCTTTGATCACAAATAAACTTAATTCTCAAGCAGCCTATATTCAGAGGTTAAGGTAGTTTGCATTTTTTATGCTGTTACATCTTTTCAGTTTTAATTTTGTTTTTTGACGATTTTTTTTTATTTCTCACCTCCTCCTATTTTGCGTGCAAAAGTTACGTGTATTAACTATTGAGATAACATTGAACTTTACTGTATTTGCAAATAAAATGACAACCAACGGTCGATGACGTCTCCATGCTGTAGCAAAAGTTGAAGAGAAAAAGATTTTAGTTCTACAATCATCAAATTTCATAATTTTATGTTTTAATGAATCTCCCTCATCCTCCTCCACTGCGACACAAATTTTGACTTCTCAAGTGATCATTTCTTTTTAATGAGGAGACAAACGTAAACTTTTTCCCCCGTTCTTTTACGTGTTTTTCATCACGCATGAATCTTAATTGAAATACTGTGGACGAAAACGTCAACAAATGCGTGTAAACATACTCTCGACTTATCGAGTAACAAATATTATGTCATATCAGTCCCCGACGCAATTCTGGCAGTCATTGATAACGGCTGACAGCTTCACTGCCACCTGTTGTGATGACGAATTTTTTAAGTTTGACATATTTGAAGGAATGTAATTCCATAAAAATCACATTTTATTGAGCTAATTTCTTATGACTCACAAATAGTCGAGATACAAAATTATTGTTTTCTTTGTCTTTAACTCAGGGACTACTTTCTATAAATCCATCCTCCTTAAAACATGCAACTGCGTCGATCAATCAATGTCTATTAGCTCTGCTTGTATCGAATTTGAAGAGCGAGGCGATAGTTTGAAACAGCGTTTCGATTGGTCAGCTTTAAAAAATATTTACAGATACGGTCAGGTATCAGAAAATAATATTGACATTGAAAATACTGATTGCATCGGGATACATTCCTTGTAAGTCGGAAGTAGTTACATAGATTAAAGTTTTATCAAACGCAATAGATAAACCGCATTGTTTTGATTTTTTCGTTCTTTTTCTTACTTCGACTCCTCACATCCGACCGATAATTCTTTATGCGCGTCACATAATGCTTTTCATGTGACCGACTTGCAGAAACAATCGCGTTCAGAGTCCGGTAACCCTCATGAGATTTAAATGAAGAAAATATAAACTGAATTACCCGCATCCTTGAGGTTACCAACCAATGGTTTGGGGATAGGTAATGCACGATTAAGTATATGTTCAAAAACTTGTTAATCTCAAATCGTGTAAAGTGCATTACTGTTCATATTTTTAGGACTTTTAAAGGAAAAGAGTTGCGCGATTTTGAAAACATTGTAACCGGTTTGCCCCCTTCTGTTAAGTGCAGTCCATTATTTGGACTTGTAAATGGTGCAAATAGCGTCAGCGTCACGTTCATTGTTAAATATATTTAACTGTTTCGGAAATAAATTAATGATTTCCCATCAAAACACCGCCTAAAATAATTATTTTGTCTCTTGTAGCTAAGCCTGTGACTGAGAAGTAATGGAATTTAGGGCAGTCGCAACTTTTCTTCTCAGATGTTCTCCCGTTTTTACTTTTCCCTTGAACGTATTTTTCGTCTCATTTTTCCGAAATCGCGCAGTCAATCTCCCCAACCCTAATTTTCATTTGTAAGAGAGAAGCATGACTGACAGAATATCTCACTGACCTCCGCACGCAGAAAATAAGTTTAGTTCAAATAAGAGACCAAAGTTTTTCGGTTCAGAGAATCGACAGTTTCGGTTACATAGACCAAACTTTGGTTTTGCTAACCAAAATTCGATTCCAAAGACTCAAAATTTCTGTCAATTGAACCGAAAGACTTAAATGTTTAATATAAGCCAAAGTTTAGTCCATGTAACCTAAGACTCGGTGCATTTTTCTCGGTGTGGTTGAAATTGATAGACAAAGCTATAGACAAAGAAGACAAAATGGATATGGAGGGATCCTGTTAGTGAAAGCGAGTGGTTGCAATGGACAATAACAAACGGCAAACCGCGGGACACCCTATAATTAGTCCATCAATTTTCCTTTTAGTCTATAGGAGCCACCCATTTCAACCAATCAGATCGCTCCATACTCCTTATGTTCTCTTTGTCTATGGCTTTGCCTATCAATTTCAACAATCAGCCTGCTGACATGCAAAAGAATTCACGTGCACAAAGTAGACAACACCCTATTGACCACACTTAGCGCATTTTTAATTACTTAGTTGTGACCAAAAAAATCTATTTACCCTAATAGAATGTAATACCGACGTGTCTGTCGGTAGATGCACTCGTTTATCGCATCGGAAGGTCGCGCGATAAATAGCGGGTGATGGGTTAATTGGTGTTTAGATTGCCGTCAACTATAAAAAAATCGTGACAGACTAACTTTGTATCCCTAATGATCGGCTTCTTTTTCAAACACTTGAAAAACAACCACCTGATTATACGGTTCTGCCGCTTGGGCTGCCGACACTCCTGTTTAGAAGTATCTGATTGGTCAACAAATGAAGCTCCGCCCTATCTTCCGTTTTAGTTCAACTTACAAGAAATGCCGCTCTATCAGCTGAGAGGTTATGCCATTGGAGAATCAGCGATTTAAGTCTAGTCATTGCGAAAAACAAATCATATATCTCCGGTCTTTGCGGAAGATTTCCTTGAGGTCGTACCCTGATTACGTAACGCTCCAGAGGAATTATGGGCGTCACGTTTTTTTCACGCAGCGTTACAGGTGGTAACGAATGGAGAGTCAAGCGTCATCACGTGACAGTTTTTAATTACTTTACGTAATTAAAATATTAGCATTTATCCATGCTGGAAGGAACCATGCGAGGGTAAATTGAATCAAAAGGAACTTTGTAAACAGAGTTTTTGTACTGCACAGTCCTTTCCCATTTAATTTATTCGCACTCAGGTCCTTCTTGCAAGAAAACGTTCAATACGTAAAAAATAAATATCTGGGTAAAGATGCGTATTTTGGTTGCGGCGTTTCAAAATCTCCGCTTCTACTTTATTTTTTAAAAGGACTCTCGCAATCAGTAAACATCATGGATTGAAATGTTAGCGAACATTTGTGAACAATGTGAGGAAGCTTCACATTAAGAAGAAGAATCAGAGAAGTTTTCAAGGAATTACGTTCTGTAGTTTTCCACATTGGAAATCATGTATGGCAGGAAGTATGCAATGTCGGAAACCGAGAGGGGCATTTTTGCAGTTTCACCATCGATTTGTGTATATCTTTGTTACAAAAAAGGTTTATTTAATACATTTGAAGAGAGAGGAGGAGTGGAGGTACAAGCAATTTAAGATATCGGTTGGGGTAAGTAGATTACTAGGATATTGGATGCCTTTTTATAAAGAGAGTAATATTTGAAATAATTTATTTAAACTGGAGAGCAATATTTATCGACGTTCTTAAGGTTTACTCTTTACCATGTAACCTACATCCACCGAGAGCTACACGGAGAAAAATGAAATTGCTGATTTAACAATCTTGTAGTAACATGTTACAACGTAGAATTTACGATAAAAAATGTTAATTTAACCATCCTCGTGGTTAAAATATCTTTCCACTATTGTAAAATGTACATTTCAAACATGTCGGACATATTCGTTAACGCAATGTAATTGTTAAATCACCAGTCCATTTTTTTCCGTGTATTCGCTTTTTTAAAACCTATTTCTCAAGTGGCCGCATGAAAATCATGTCTTCTCCTTTTTTCAGGTCGATTGCTAGATTCCACGAATCTACTAAACCTTCAGAACAGCCAATTCGAAAACAACCTGAAAGCGGCCAAAGAGAACCTGAAAAAACTGAAAGAGAACCAACGGACTTCCCGAGAGAACCTGAGAAACCTGAAAGAGAACCAACGCACCTCCAAAGAATCCCTGAAAACTATCAACATCGCGAACAAGGAAAACAGCATCAGCGAGATGAGGCTCGACTACGGACCCCTTTCCCGAAGGCCGGCGCCTTTGGATTTGGACTTGGACTACGACTACTTCCTCAACACCATATCCAAAGGCCGACGCCCCGCTGAACTGCGAGAACTCAGTGAGTATTACCGGTGTATTTGAGTCGATGGCTTCGAAAAAGGAGCCACACTGAAAAAAAAATCTCGGTGTATTTACTAAGAAAAGGGTAAAATTACCAAGAATTCAGGGTTCTATTTGATCCCAGTTTTTTCTTGGTAAAATTACCATTTATGGAATTTTCCGAATGAATTTTCGGAATACCGAGAAATCTCGGTAAAATTATTGAACTTTCTCGGTAATTTTACTGGACCTTGGTAAAAACGCCAATATTTTGTATCGATTGTGGTAGAATTACCGAGATAAAATGGCAAAGTTACCGGGAATTGATTACCAATAAAAGTGGTAATCTTACCTGGAAAAAACAGTAAAAATACCGGTATTTTGGTAAGCTTACTGGTCTGTCTTGGTAAAATTACCAATAATTGATAATAAAAAAAAAGTGAGATGGTAAACCAACGGACCTTGGTAAAAAAGCCGAGAATTTTTTCTCCGTGCATCTATACTTTTTTTAAATTGATCAGGAAAGCGAATAACTATGCATGAAAGCCCGGGGGTTGTGTGTGACAAAGTCTCTTACATGAATGGAAACTGTGCTCGGTATTTGCTTTTTTCGATCCACCTCTCGGCCGTATTGAGGATACACAAGATGAAATGAGGAGCTTGGAGGACAAAGCACGTAAGTGCAGTTTTTGAAAAAATTGAGCTATTCATGATTTCAAATAAAACTAGTCTTAATACATATCGTGAGAAAAATTCGCTCCCAAATTCCAATTTTTAAGCATCAAAATTCGGCTTGAACTTTCTTTCCGCCATAAGGCTCCATGTAATTTCGAAACTTCGAACACGTATTTCTCGAAATAGCAAAAACTGCACTTATGCACCTTGTCCTCCAAGCCCCTCAAATATCCAGTTGCTGCATGAGTACACCATGCGTGGTCGCGCTCGCTTAATCGTTGTACGCGGAAAATGTTCTTAGTACACCTACACGGAAAGGGTGCTGTGTCAGAATATTATAAGCTCAGGGTTCAGATTGGCTTGTGTAAAACTCAAGCGTGAAAAAGAGGGAAAATTCTTGAAGGGATGGAAACTTGCGAATTTTTAGTCCTGTGCTCGTAGCGGCAGGTAAGCCGCGCGCCTTCACTTATTGAGAATGCAATGTATATTACATTTCAGCACGAATAGTTGCATGCGAGTGTCAACTTCAATATCAAATACTCTACGCTGGTTAAGATGAAAGATCTTTAATTTTCTGCTCATAGATGAAATATGATGCAGAGAGACGGCTTAAACTAGGTATCGAAATAAAGCTGCGGAAATACAAACAATAATAATTTAATCACCTCGTGATCAGTAATTTTTCATGCCGGAAAAATCAAAAACCAAACACATTTTTCATACGTGCAATGGCACGTATTCTATCAGAAAAGAATTAAGCATAGTATATCGTTGTAATGCATTGTATTGGGTAACATTTTCTTTGTCGAGGAGAAGAGACCGAGACCACATGACAAAATAAAACTTAATAAAACTTATAAGTCATATATCTTTAAAGTAATCCTCATTACTCTGCAGAAAAACCAAAAGCTGGTTGAATTTCCTATCTTGCTCTCACGATAGGATAACATGAACAATCTTAGCATGATTTCAAAGTATACGATTCATTTCCGGTTCGCTTGGTCCAAACATAAAGTGCGCAGTTTGTATTGTCACTTTAATTGGCCTCATTATGTGTGAACTATTTTCCTTAAGCAATACAATACACTAAAAAATTCAACAGGATTTGTTTTTTTCCTTAAATATTATCAAACGAAAATTAGGAGGTCATGTAATCCTTGTTACTTTAGTCATAAAAAAATGAGTCAAGAAATCGCAGCTTTCCACAAAGTAGCGGAAAATTTCTTTCTCGAGAACTCTACATGTCCCTAAATTTAGTTCAACAATGAGTCTACTTCCTAACCCGATAACCTCATGCTTTTTAATTTATAAATAAAATACACGTGCTCAGTTAGTCATTGTACAATGTACATGTCAAATTGCCTTACTCTGTAGCTGTCTTTATTTCGTGATATACGGATTTATCAACAAACGAAGTAGAAAAAAAGAGAGTAGGAACCAGAAAATCAGACGCAATAACTATTCAAGAGCGTGCATTCGACCCACAGTTGTCTTGTATCTTTGAAAACTCGATCATTCTACTTTGGATGTACCGAATAAAAATTCTAATTTTGCGGCCGTTTGTCACCGCTGCAAAAGAAGCTTAATCTCTTTCGATTAAAATCACGCTGCTGATCACCCACTACGGATTGGCTGACCTTTCGGACAAAAACGGCTGATTAACATCTTGAAAAGGCCCGCTTTTGCGTCGTAGAGTGTCGATGATCGATTTTTAAGCTAACTTACCGCTATCGCTAAACTCAACGACCGTGGAATGTGCTCTCAGGTTAGATAACAACGACTGTTGAATGGGCGGAAAAGAATAAACGACATTCAACAATGCGTAACACAGTAAAGTATCAATGGTCAGGCTCCTCCCCTATTTCTGATTTTTCTCGACGGTTTGAGTTTGCACACCGAGCTAGCGTCATTCTCAGATGCTCGTAATCCAATCGACAAATGGATCGGTTTTGTTTTAAAATTGATGCGGGAAAAGCATTGCTACATGCGTTGAAAAAATTACTCAACGGTAAAAAATACTTTTTCATTGAGCATCCGGTTTTCGATTCCATATGGCAGGAATTAGAACTGTTAAGGCTGAAAAAGCCAATGGACCACTAGACAAGGTACAAATTTAATCATTCTGATATATGTTTCTTAACTAGAATTTCACGTAGAACACGATTTGCGCAACGAAAATTACTGAAATCAACTCCTGCCGGAGTTATTAACATTTTTATTTCACATTGGTTACGAGGAATTTGAACTGCCCGCTCACAAGAAACTCAAAGCTCTACGTGAGTCAAATCGCGCACTACAACGGTTTCAGCAATCTTCTCAATCGAGCAATGTTCATTTCCACCATGTGTTATTCAAACTTTAAGCAATTTGCTATAGCTGAGCCAAAGCGTCAAGATTGAGGTTGCCAGATTTTTATATCGCAGAGACTGTCATGGTAAACGTTTAGCGCGCGATGTGAATCATGTAGAGCATTGAGTTTTTCATGAGCGGGTGGTTTGAATTCACGCATCAAAATTATTGAATATCTTCGTAAGCAGTTGATTTCGGTAATTTTCGTTGTGCGCATCGTGTTTTACGTGAAATTTTGGTTAAGAAGCATGTATCAGAATGCTGAAATTCGTACCTTGTCTAGTGGTCCATTGCAGATTGACAAAATTATCAGTCACTAGGCGATGAAGCGATTGCAGAACGCGGTATACTTTTTTGGGCTACCTTGCAAAATGCAGGCGCAACATATCGCCCCGATTTGTCAGCCTTTCTGATTGTTCTGTTTAAAGATTTCACTGGAAGCAGCGTGATGACTTGAATGAAATCGCATTAACGCGTGTCTCACCGCCGTAATTTCACTTAAGAAACAATGAACCAAGTATTTCTGTTTGATTCATACTCACAATTGAGAAACCAGCATTTTCCAAACACGTGCTGAGGTAATTTCTGGAGTGGATTCAGCAGTGGCGTGGCGTGAATTGCGACGTATCAATTGTTATACCATTTAAACCTATGGCAAAAAACCGATTATTAAGGTGTTCGCTGCGAACACCCTGTTTATCGATCCTTTTCCACAGGTTTAAATGGTATAACAATCGATATATCGCAAAGTACGTCACGCCACTGGGATTTAGCCATCTTTTTTGGTACAGTTTCTACCCCTTTTCTACTTCATTGCGATATTGAGGCAAATATCCTAACCATCCATTAATAACTTATTTTTGATGCAATCATCAACGGTCTCCTCGAAAAATTTTAATGTTCCAAAATTTTAAAAGGTATGGTTCCCCTCTAAACTGCAGTACAGTTATGCAGGAGTGTAATGTTCAAATTTATTTTTGTAGCCTCTTTGATTGCGAAACTGCCCCCTGATGCGATCAAGTTCGGCGTCGGTGTACCCAATGGCTCGACCTTCCCTTTCAAGGAGATCAAAGTTACCCTCAAGGACAACTCAGTGGCCGTCATCGATGGAGAACGTCTCGCCGAGGCTCTTCAGTACCTCCCATCTAGCGGGTAAGTCCCCACCTCATTACGTAGTCGGAGACTTTTAACCATAATTAGCCCAACTCCTCTTTATGTTGCTTACTTATTATTTTGTATGTCGCAGTCAATTAGCAATTGCTGGCAATTTGCAAGCTGTTCACACGTTGTTTCAATAAATAGCAATAATGCGCATCGGCATAATGCAATTTTTAAGGGTTATGGTCTTCAAAAGTATGAGCTCGGCTTGAAACGCCTTCATTTTTTGTGATACCCTACGCTTTGTCACAATGTTAGTTTAGTTGCCTGTCCGATGTCAACCCAACTAATGTCACAGAGTTCACTACACGCTCTTCTGAGTGTGCACATTCCTGTCATGTTTTTGAAGATGGGGAAGTGTCTATTTACATTATAGGCAACATAATCAGCACTCTAATCTTGTTCTTTTATTTTTGAATTTTATGACTTTCTATATTTATTTACCACTGGCTTGTAAATTGCCGGCAATTGCCAATTGCCTGCGACATATTATCTATGTAAAGTCGGTCCTACAACGCACTCTGACGTTCTCCGACACCCAAACGCCACTTATGCCTATCCTCCTAGAGGTTATCGGGCAACTGACACCGCAACATCTCTCGGTCAACGTCCTGCCGCCATCCCTTCACGGGACGTCCCCTACTTATTATCATGTTTTATTTTTAACACAAAAACCGAGCAACAGAACGTCTTGAAACTTCTCATGGATTTGTCCTAGATTGCGAGGCATATTTTTTTTAAAATTTCAAAGTAGAATTTTACTGAGTCTTCTAGTAAAAAAATAAAGTGCAAAGATAATAATATTAGACACCGTGAGATGTAGTTAGGATCATTCTGGCTGAGTGCGTCCAGTTTTTGCCTTGCGTAAAGCACTGGGCAACTCCTAATAAAAATGTACTTATAGCGGTATAGTACAAACAAAAGAACGCACTTGAAATGGACCGCGTTAAACAGGTAAAAACCAAGCCACATCAGGTATTGCCAAATTTAATCGGCTAATTTAATTTTTTACATGAAAACGGTTGTGCGGATTTTTGTGCAGATATCTATGAATTTTCTCCATAATACAAAGCAAATTCCTAAAAATTTTCAGAGGAATCCGCAGAAATATTCTGTTTAACGGGGTCCAAATGTGCCCCGAATTCATCTATCAACACTTTCCCCTCAATCTATAACTACCTAATATCACCAAATATCATTTATTTTTGGTTGCGACACTGAGAAAACTTGATTTGTGATTGCATCGTTATATTCTGCTTCAGAATGGCATCATTGATTAGCACATTGAAAGATGTGCAAGACAGAGTACATGGAACCCAAGACTGGACAAAACGGAACATCATCATAACCGCCGGCGCCCAAGAAGGGCTTTGCAAAGTTGTAGAAATGGTCGTGGAACCTGGTGATGCAGTTATTCTACAGAACCCTGTTTACACCGGAGTCCTCGATTGTGTAAGTGGACATGTGATATGTAGGGGTCATTCATAAATACTTGATACTCCATAGGAGAGAAGAGTGTGATCCTGTGTTAAGGGTGCGTTACAAGAATAGGGACTTGGTCAAATCAAGTTATTTTCTTACAGTCCACGCCAAATAAGTTCACGCGTTTTCAGACTTCGTCAGACGATCAGTCATCTTGAATCTTCCATTTAATGTCAATGCTAAACCGCCATCACACTTTTTTCTGTCGCAGTCTGAAAGTGCGATAACTTATTTTGCGTGAAGTCCATGTGGCGAGGGGTGCTGATCTGTGTCATACGGGTGTATTGCAGGGAAGGCGTATCATGAAATACGATTTTCGGCAGTACGAGATTCATCAACAATCCTTACTTAAGATGGCGAGATATTAAACATACTTTTTTATTAATCATACTCATAAACTTGACAATGCAGAGTTTTTTCGCCCAACAGTTCTATGTGTCAATGTCACATGCAGGTTGTGTTCTGTTTTTGGGTGAAAAAGTATCGCAGAGACCTAAACTTCATAAGCACCGCATGAATTCAATAGAGATGTACCACTTGTTGCATCCTCTCACATTGAAGGAGCTTTGTATGCAGTAGAGATTCATAGCTGGATACATCCTTCTCTAGAGGAGGACTAATTTTTTAAAACATAATATGAACACGTCAATTAATAAAATGCGTTAATACATACATTTCCAGGTGTCAATTTTTCCCTAGACCCCTAAAAGTTAATGATTACCAATTTACTTTTGACGTCTTTGGATGCAGCTTCAAAAGAGCTACTTACTTACAGTACAAATACTATCTCAATTTTGTCGGGAAGTGCCATTTTGATCCTCTTCATGATATTATTTTTTCTGTTACAGTTCAGACCTTACCAATGCGAATACATAGCTGTTGACATGGACCAAGACGGAATGAGACCAGATATCCTAAGGGAGATGCTGGCCGATCGCAAACGGGAACAGAAACCAATGCCAAAGGTAATTTTCCTTTGAGATATATTATTTTGGCATATATTTAGGTAAATAGGAGATAGTTTCAAGAGTCAAATTTTAAATGCATTGACTTTTACATTTACTGCGATTGCATGAAAATATTACGAGAATTCTCTTGATATGTGTATGCTTTTACGAGTATGCTTCAATAGAACATTAAAAGACCTTGAGTAGACTTTTGCGTTCTATGAGGTGTTATCCGGTGGCGATTTTGTAAGTTGGCAACATCGATTTTTCCATTTAAATCCATTAAAATTATCGAATTTAGGTGAGGCAGCGTTCAAGAAGAAGAAAGAATCTATTGTTTCACATACATCTAAATGTAGGAAAAACGGCGTCGCCAACTTCCAAGAATCGCCACTGGCGGTATATTTAAAGATACTTGCAATTTGGATAGCTGAACCCGCGCTATGAGAACTGAACTTTCTGAAAAATCACGAGAAGATTAACGATTTATAATTTTTAGATTCTGGTTATCCTTCCCAAGTAGCAAAATAGAATTTTTTTCTAGAAAAAAAAATATTAAGAAAATTTCTAGAAAAAAAAGAAAATGAGAGTTATCCAGAAAATAGAAAGAAAAAACATTGCGAGTCAAAAGTCTGACCAAAGAAAATAGATCTAGTTTATAGGTCTACTTTCTGTAAATTTCCCATTTGGAAAAAAGATAGAAAATTTATTGAAAGTAGAATTATTTTCTAGCCAATTTCTTAATGTTTTCTTTGAAGGAAATGCAAGGAAAAAATGTATTTTCTTTCTATTTCCTTGTGTCTATTTTCTAGATCTACTTTATACCTCTTTTCTTTCAAGAAAATTGTTCTATCTAGAAAGTAGACATTTTCTTGATGAGCGCCACCTAGAAAATAGATGATAATGCTACTTGGGTTCGCTTTCAAGTCACCTCTATCTTTATTGAAAGTAAGTAAGTATCATCTGTGAAGCTTAAATTTTATCAGTGGCATTTTTAGGTTATTTTGCAACTGGACTTCTTTGCGGAAATAATTTTGCCAACTCAATGAAGTATTTATCTACAAGCGGTGCCACTGTGGCAGTTAGAGGTATAATTCGCACAGACAGAGTTGTAGTCGCCAAACACAACCACACGTTAGAGTAGTAAGTGGATGAAATTCGCCCAGCCACTTTATAGATTGAAGCCATTAGAAGCCAGTGTACTTCGAAATTTTTGTTCAATGAAAGGAGTAATTTTTGTTTCAGATAATGTACGTGAACCCGACAGCGGCAAATCCTTGCGGCGTGACGCTGAGTGAAGAGAGAAAATGCGAAATCTACCAGCTGGCTTGCGAGTACAATTTCCTGATTCTCGAGGACGACCCGTACTATTATTTAGGATTTGATGAGGTGAGAACCGAAAAACCAGTGCCAAGCTGAAAAATGAGAGAGAAAAAAAATTGCGTTTTTTCTGAATAACTGTTTCATCCTGTAGAGGAAATATCGACGGTGTAAGTTGGCAATCACATAACTCGATTTGCGACGTCGCAGACTTCCTGTCACACTTTATTTTTTAAACGGACTGGTACTCAACGGTAATTCTTTGAAACTGCCGTGATTTTTCGTCTCTCCGCGAAGAAAATTCTGCAAAAACTTCAAGGGATGATGTCAATTTGTTCTCCTTTAAAAAAAAATAACATAGAGGCGGAGATTTTCAGACACCGCAAACGAGGTATGAGATTGCCCAGTGCCCATAGGCAATCATATATCATGCATAAGTGCACTTACAACGTCGATGTGTTTGAATACACGATGCGCTAAAACTTTCCATAATTCCACTTTTTGAGGAAAAGAGCCACCCTGCTGAAAATGGTGTGTACAAGTGAGTAGAAAATCAAAGTCATATGAATAGAGGTTCAACTCATATGAATAGAATTTCAACTTATATGGATAGAATTTAACTCATATGAGCAGAATTTCTCTATTCACTTTTCGCCGACTCATATGATCAGAGATTTCAACTCACATGAGTTCAACGTCGAATCTACCATGTCCGATATCTCAGAAACTAGTCACCGCATCAAAAAAATCATAAGAACAAAATGTTCTTATTTTTCAAATTTACATGCTACGTCGGTGTCTCCCGGTCAAAAACAGCACTTCTGAAAAATGAAAAAAATTGAATTCATATGAGTTGAACTTTTCTACTCCTAATATTCTAGTGATATGAGTAGGATTTCTACTCATGTAGGTAGAAAGTTCTACTCATGTGAGTCGGCGAATTCAGAATATAGCCTACTCGTCATTTTTAGCAGGGCATGAGAATAAAAGTGGGTACAAAAAATGACGTATTTTTTGTAGAGATGTAACAGACAGCCTACACTTTTTTTTTTTACATTCAAAATGTTAAATCAACGTGTTCGAGAGGTAATAGGCGTTAAGGGGACAATTTTGCACGATATTACGACCAAGCAATTGGTATGGTATGCGCATGTGCAGAGGATGGCTGATACCAGGTTGCCAAAAAAGTGACTTATACATACATACATACATGTTAAATCAACTTCACTTTTTTTCGATGAAGACAAATTAAAATGACTTGAAACTTTCTCCGAATTTTTCCCGGAGTATAAGGAATAAATTCACAGAATTTCAAAGGAAAATATTGCTTCATTTCCAGATCTAAAAATTAAGCGTGAGGCGAAATTAGGAAACCTCTAATGTAGTAACCTGACTGTGATTACTGTGGTGTAATTGATATTGTTGTTTCATTTCAGACATACCCGGTTAGTTTCCTATCGATGGACACAGAGGGTCGCGTTCTGCGGTGCGACTCGTTCTCAAAAATTTTGTCATCTGGTCTGCGCCTGGGTTTTGTCACTGGTCCTATGCCTCTTTTGCGTCGTCTGGAGCTTCACATGCAGGTCTCCACTCTCCATGCCTCCGCTTTGTCTCAGGTATGAGAGAATCTTCCTCTCCAATATTCAGGGTTGCAATTTTTCATGAAAAATAAAATCTTGAAATTTCATGTGAAATCTTTCATAATATGAAAAATATTATTCGAAATTAAATGCAATATTAAATGAAAGGTGACTGGTTTTTGCTTTTTGGTGTTGTTTACTGCGTGTTGCATACCCAGCCCCTGAGGGTATGTTTCATATTTTTATATTATTCACAACTTTGTGAAATTTCATGAAATATTTCACGGAAATTTTCAATACTTCATATTTTTCATTTCACTCGTGCAACCCTGCCAGTAAATCGATTAGTCTCGTGCACAGAGAAAAAATGAGATGGCCGCATTTTGAGGAATTTTTTACTGTGTGACGGAGGTAGGCACAATACGGTGTCGATGTAGCAGCAAAATCCGAAATTCAAAGCATGAAANATTGGGTTCCTCCTGGGAGGAGACGGAGGGGACGCCCAGTGAGAGGTTGGCGACAGGGGGTGTTGAGTGAGATGAGGGAGTGTCAACTCCCTGATGACCTGTGGGAAGACCGAGCTTTGTGGCGATTGGGCGTCGCAGAGCGCCGAAGAGCGCTGTAAAAGCGACTCATATGTATGTATTAATAGAGTGGGTCAGTTGCGCTGATCAGATAATCATTCTTTGATGCTTAATTCTTGTAGAGTATCTAAAAACAATAAGATCTGTCTAAACAGCAACTTTCTACGTTCAATATTAGCCGAGGTATCGAACTTTGAAAAGTCGGGTTTTTGACGTCATCCACCGCGGTAATATAACACCCTAGGTTTTTTTTCCACCTTGCTTTCACCCGAGTTTTACGTAGAACAACCAGCGCAAATGTGCGTCACAGCTACTTTTTTCTTTTCTCCGTAATTCTAATGCGCTTGTGTAGTCAGATTTTTCCAGTTAGGATTTTCCACATTTCAATTTATAGGATATCCACGCAAGGTGTTCAAAAGATTGTCTTACTGATGCAGCCCATAACGTGATATTAGACTGGTATTCGTCAGAGAGCTTGACTGAAAGTTGATTAACAACTGATTGAAAATATTGATTTTCCGTGCAACTTTACAGGGAACGGTGCTCGATTTTTTTATACTTTTTTATACTTTTTTTATTTTTTGTCCCCCATTCGCGTGAGAAGCGTACGTTTTAAGCGGTCTTTTGATTTGCCAATTCAATACTTTTTTATTGATCAACATGGAAAGACATGTTCGATGATCCTTTGCATTTTTCATTGCTTTTTCCTCATTTATGGGCAAAACTGTGCCATTTTCTCATTACTAACGCATGCCATTTTCCTTTTCAAACGCAGGTTGTGCTCTACCAGTTGCTTAAAAAATGGGGATTTGAAGGTTTAAGAGAACACTTCGCCGGAATCAAGAAATTCTACCGTCAGAAACGAGATCTTATGATTGCAGCAGCACAAAAACACTTAACAGGTGCGTATCTACTCTCAAACTTACCCCTTGGAATAGGGCCTTCTTTGGACCATCATAACAGCAGAATAATGTGGTCATAAGTTCAAAGCGGCACCGGCGTTCCGTGTAACTTCTGAGCAAACCAGTTCAACAGAGGAAATCAAGTCACATCTTAAAACATGAAACAAAATGGTCAGAAGTAGTTTTGAACTTAGCAATAATTGTCCATTTTACTCTTTTGTTTTTCTTTTTTTTTAAAGTTAAGGTAATGTATACGTTGAATGTGAAAATATGAAGTGAACTTCATCAGCTGCAGTATGTAACATTGAAGCCAATGTAGAAACATAGCTACAAACCTAAAGTAGTGATCAGTTGACTTACAATCAGTTCTTCTCACTGAACCTCGAACCCTCGATCCACTTACAGCACTTTTACCATCGTGCCATTTCTGGTCATTTGTAGCTCCATAGTTTGACCTTAAAATGATTTTATGATATGAGCCATTTTCAGACCTGGCCTGCTGCCGCACATTGGGCTAAAATGGTTATGATCAAGGGAGTGATTTTCACAGCACAAACCGCTAAAGAGATGTCACTGTGATATCGACGGCTTAAGTCCGCAATCATTTATTTCGCGTTTGCGATATCTGAAAATCTCCGCCTCTATGTTACTTCATTTAAAGAGAACAAATTGAAATCATTCCTTGCAATTTTTGCAGAATTTTTTCCGCACAGCGAAGAAAAATATCGGCAGTTTTATTAAATTGCGTTGAGTAGTTTTCCGTTTAAAAAATAAAGTATGACAGAAAATCTGCGCTACGTCGTGAGCTGAGTTATGTGATTGCCGACTTACACCGTCGATATATTTTTTTCGCTTGAAAGGTAATCAACCAATAGAACTAATGAGATTCATTGTACATATTAGGTCTAGCAGAATGGAACAATCCAAGCGGGGGAATGTTCCTGTGGTTGCGCGTCAAAGGCATTGACGACGCGCGCTCTCTGGTGACGAAGAGATGCGTTGACAACAACCTCGTCTGTGCCCCCGGCTACGTCTTCATGGCTGACGGCACCAAACCTTGCCCATACATGCGACTCTCGTTCTCCCTGTGCTCGGCCGAACAGATTGACATGGTGAGTTCATTCACATCCAGAAGCGGATCTAGCAATGGAGATGTTGCATGTGAGAAATTTGCGATTTGACCATCGATTTATACGTAAAAGTTCGCAAGAAACACGATAGTGCCACTGGTTTTCTCTGAAATCAACTCCCAAGTTCAAAAAAAGCTCTCAAGTTGAAGCCAAAATGGAGGGGATATCCCACGCTATTCTGAAAGTCCACCTCTACATCAAGACAAACTCTCCATGCAAAGATAGGGAGCAAACACATTGACAGGGATGCCACTTTATTTGTGGACTCTGAAACTGAAAACACGGCATCACTGCTAATGTATTTGCTCCCTACCTTTGCATGGAGAGTTGGTCTTGATGTAGAAGTGGACTCTCAGGATAGCGTGGGATATCCCCTCCGTTTTGGGCTTAACTTGAGAAATTGTTTTGAGCTCGGGAGTTGATTTCAGAGAAAACCAGTGGCACCATCGTGTTTCTCGCCAACTTTTACATAAGAATCGATAGTCAAATAGCAAATTCCTCACACATGCAACATCTCTATTTGGCAACACCGGGTTTTCTCTATATAAACCTATGTTAAGTAATCGCTTCTGTCCGGAGCACCTAGCCCCTCCAAGAATCGATACATTTCCATAAGTTTAATAGGGGGAATCTGGTGTTGCAAAACCGCGGGATCCGACAATGAGTCCAAAAACGATAATGCTATTGATGACGGAGTAAGCTACACAATACCCTCAGTGGAGATAGCAGTTTAAAACAATAAAACAAAGTGCACCACCAGCAAAATGAACTAAATTTACCCTTCATTCACTGGTAGAAAAAAAACACTTTGGATCTAGAGTCCAGACTCTTGAAAACATTGACAAGAAAAAGGACTCTTGATTCAATCAGATTTAAGCTTAAATGAAAAGGAAATCCGCTCAAATTAAGACGCTTGGCTCTTGATTTAAGCTTAAATCTGATTGAATCAAGAGTCCTTTTTCTTGTCAATGTTTTCAAGAGTCTGGACTCTAGAGCCAATGTGTTTTTTTACCAGTGATTGCATGAACCAATCACTGTTTTTGTAGGGAAGAAATTGCATTGATACTATATACTCCAAAATACTATAAGAATTCTTATAGCCGGCTAAAGGAGGCGATAGAAAATCATATAGCTGGCTGGCGCAGAAAATCCTAGAGCCGGGCTATACGAAGCGATAAAACATTATGAAGGCGGGCTTTAGTTCCTATCGCCGGATTACACACTTTATCGCCATCTGCTGTGAAAGGCTATAAGAAATTGTGTGGAAATTCGTGTGCTTTGAAAATCATTAAGTTTGATACGGAACCACCTTAATATTTACAAAACACACATTATATTTTCCTTTAATACATAGTTTGTTTAATTAATTAAAATGAGAATAATCCATACAGAGCGTGCAAACATTTCAAAATCATGAGTTGAAAAACGCTGACTCCGCCAGATTAAATATTAGAGCCTAACACAAAGCGGAGCGGCGACGCACTGGCGCCTACAAACCTAACAGGGATACTTCACGCATTGCGCAACGCGTGAAGTATCCCTGTTAGGTTTGTGGGCGCCAATGCGCGTTTCGCGCTGGCCGCCCGCCCGCCCGCCGCGCCGCAGCGTACCACGGCGCTTGAAGCAACTATTTCACACCAGAGGTATTGCACTGTATCATACGGAATGGAAGGCGCTAGCATATTAGGAATGGCAGGCATCCGTCAAAAGTACAGAGCTTTCCTCGCAAAATAAATCAAGATACTACGACCAAAAAAGAGAGCGGTAGTCCAAAAAGTCACCAAGTCCTTTATAGGAATCGTAATTAGTAACGTTCAGCATACACTGTATCGCCTGGCTATTGCTAATCGCCATCGCCTATAAAAGGCTATAAGAAATTGTGTAGCCGGCTATAGAAGCTATTGGAAATCTTACAGCCGGATGTAGGTCAATGGTATTTTGGATCATATATTCTACTGCCAATTTTTACGAGGGATTTTATACGACACGTACGACTCGTTATTATTGTAACTGTATAGTTTTCAGCAAGTGTATTTCCAAGTAGTTACATTTCTAAGAATTGCTCCTTCATTGAGTTAGAAAGTACATCTTAATCATCACGTGATAAGAGAGAAAGTGATATATCTACAATATTGTTTATTTTTGTGATTCCAGGGTATCAGCAGGCTAGCCAGGCTTATCCGAGAGGAGCAGCTGGCTACTCGTTTGCCATGTCAATGTGTGCAAGTTTGACATTAAAGAATAATTGCTCGATCCAGTCTCAAAAGCATCACACACTGTTCAATTCACCCCTCGTGATTGGGCAAAGTATATCCCGAGTATACTTTCTGTTACATATCACATCAAAATTTTGAGATCAACCCCAACAGAATATCACGGTTTTCAGGTTTAACTGTAATATGGGGATACTTGAATACTCATTTCTTTAATCTCTCAATGAGTGCGTCGATTGAAAACGATAAGATAATGATCTCAGCCATTCTTTTCGGCATCTCCCAATGTTGTATAAAGTAAAAGTAATCAGTCGTATGGTGTTTTTGAAGATTTTTAATTTTAAGTTTGGTAGATTGTTATATTAGGTCTCGCACTCTTCTATTTGTTTTAGGTTTGTTTCACTTGCATGTAAACTAGATCTAAGTTTGTTGCACTTGCATGTAAACTAAATGAAAATAAATATAGGTGTAGACAGTGAGCATATCAACCCTCGGCTTTCAATTTGCATGCTACCCACCGAATGTTTTTAAGTACATGAAAAGCGAAAAAAGAAATGAAACAAATCCACGTCTTGAGAACGACAAATATTGGAGGTGTCAAAATGCGGAATTGTGAGTCCTTTCCTTCGCCACAATTCTAACGTAGAAAGATAAAAAAAATGTATAATAATAATGAAAAAAAAAAAAAAACACTCACTATGTACGCAGGAATAATCTAAAGTCTCTCCCTAGTTATCCCATGCATACGCATTTTACACTTGCGTTTTTATTGAGACGAGTTCGGCACAGGCTTATCGCTTGTTTGTTGTTTCAATTCAACCTTTTCGCTTTAAATTTAATGGAGTTCAACCGGCAAAGACTTTCCTTCTTCCCCCGATGGAGTGAAAGTAAAATAATCAAGCCGTGAGTAATATTAAGAAGTAAAATTTAATTTTATACAACCGCAAATGGTCCTTAAAATGAAATGTATTTAACTTAGCAGTCTATAATTAGATTTTATTAAAACGCAGTAAAAGTATTTATATTATGTCATTCTATGCTGGGTTTTACTTGCTGAATTTGATGAGATTCGTTGTACTTTAAAATGATGATTTTTTTAATTTGAAATTCGCATCATAATATTTAAATTTCATTTAAATCATCCAAAAACCTAGTAGTTACGAAAAAGCATAATTCACAATTTTATACCATTAGGAAGTTTCTCCTTTTTGAAATTAGATATTTTTGGTAATCTCGATTGGGGCTGAATACTTTTCATCTCGTATCATTAGCATGCGTTTGTATGTACAGGGAGAGAGCCTGTACAAGTTCGAATTTCTCTTTTCTGAATTTACTTAAAGGCTCCTGTAAATAGCAGTGTTGAAACGCTCGTGTAGTTTTTAGTGATGTAAAAAAAAGAAAGAAATACAGATAACAAAGTAATACTTACAATTAATTCCGTTCTGGTTTTTTTAAATTTGTGTACATGATCTATAATTTTTACGCTATTTTAATAAAAAAAAACCCTTCATATTTGTTCGATTTTCTCATTCAATTTTTTTTTGGGTCCTCTTTGCCTTTTATGAATAAAAGAAATGCACAATAGTAATCATAAAATTTTCAAGCGTATTCGTGCTGATCCAAGCTACGCATTTCATATATGGACCGCGTTAAGCAGAAAGGAACCAAGCCACATCAGCTATTGCCAAATTTAACTGGGCACTTTAATTTATCACAAGAAAACGGTGAAGCGGATTTGTTTGAAAATTTCAGTGAATTTTCTACATGTTACAAGGTAGATCCCCTAAAATTTTCACGAAAATTCGCACAAATGTTCTCTTGTAGAAAATTGAATACCTCAGCTAAATGTGGTAACAGCCGATGTAGCTTGGTTCCTTTTCTGTTAAACGCGGTCCATATATGTTCCGGGCACATTCCGATATTGGGCCGATCGCAACATGCCCGGGCAGATTAAATCGGCCCGCACCTATTTGAATACCTACGCTCATGATTACGGAACTATAGATCGAAATTTGCCCAGGTCGATTGCAATCGGCCCAAAATGGAATGTGCCCGTAACATGTACATAAGACCCTCTTCGTCGCTCTGCAACAGCCACAGCAGTATATCCTATCCGCCTACAGTATTTCTAGAAGTTCGCTACTCATTTCATTACTGACGGGCATTCCTTACTTATTACTTATTACTTCATTTACTTATTTCATTATTACGGGGCAAACGATTATTTTGATCGGCCGATTTTAGTCTTGCCGACACAGTCATGACAGACTGCGTTAATTAAAAACTCAGATTACGGGGACTAATCTTCGGTTCATATTGAACACCTGGCTGTAAGGTTCAGATAACCGGAGTTTTTAGTCATAGGAACCAAATTTTGGTTAGTTAAACTGAATTTTAATTTCTTCGAATGAAAACTTTGCATAGCCAAGCCAAAAACTTTGGGGATCTTGATGAACCATTGTGGCAATGTATCAACTATAAAGACGAGTTTGATGTGTAAGGCTGGCAGTGAGTGTACCGTTGCGAGCTCGTACCTCCGTAGTTATTTATCATACGAGGCATCACAAACTTTTTTCTTTATTCTTTAAGATTTGGTTTTTATGCGAGCAAGTTAGAATCGATGTATTTTGTATTCTTGGACGGACTTCAGTGAATATGCACAGAAAATTTCATAATTTTACAAATATCTCATCACTTGACTGGATTTTAAAAGTGGAAACGATAACGTATTAAACAAATTGCCGGATGTTATTTTAATAGTGTATCTTCTACATTTGACTTAGGCGTGGTATCGTGAAATAACCAAACACAAGATCAGCGCCCTTTAAAAAAAAAGAGAGAAAAAAAGAAAGAAAAAAAGGGTCTCTCGTTCGCACTCTTAGGTTCCCATTTTCATCAGCTTGTGAAATCGGAGAAATACTTTTTGAAGATCGTATGGGAGACGTAACACCATGCCATAGAAAGAAAAAGGAGGTGTTTGCTTCTTGAAGATTGTTTACCACGTGATGTAGGTTGGTACAGGTACTCAGTGTTGGTCTGGCTCAAAAATTATAGGGGTCCTGATACGTTTTTGGGCCCCTCCTCTCAGGTGAGGCCCCCCTTTCACTATTCTTAAGTCTTCTTTTATTAGGGGTTTACAAATTTTAGGGGCCCCTGGAGGAATTCTGCCGCGACTTCTTGAGCCACTTGTCAAAATTTCTGGGGTGCTAAAGCATCCTAGCACTCCTGGCCAGACCGCCTCTGCAGCAAAATCCGATATTCGAAGTATGAAAAATGGACCATGACGTCCGATTTTCTTGCTTAAAGCAACTCATGATATATTTTCAAACACTTTACTCGTGTTTTGCTCGGAACAACAAATTGTTTCTGTTTTTTTTTCTTGTTTCTTTTACGCGATTCTGAACAACCATAATGAGAGAGCAAATTCGAATTTAGGTTAGATAACAGCGTTGTCTTGGGCAACAACATAAAAGCGACTTGCTCGGAGCACGTTGCAGTTGTTGTACAACAATGTTGCTTCAGTGGTTCCCAAGTTTAGAGAGCGAAAATAAACCCGGCCCCCACAACACTAAACAACTTGTTTTCCCAACATGTTGCGAGCGAGTGTTGCCTCCGAACAAAATATAACTATTTTATATAGAATGACTTTTCTCCATAAACTACACCATTTCCGAGAAAATCGATGATGAAAATCGTCCGTACCGACCTAATCGCCGGAACAGGGTGCTGTAATTATGGCAAGACAGCACTCGCCGAGGCACCCTATACATTCCTCATCGCACAACTCGCTACAGTCCGGCATGTTATCACAAAGTGTGGCACAGCAATTGGAGAAACACCCAGTAATCGAATCCCACATACCCCCGCATGGATCTCCCCCACCACCATCATCACCACCATTTTCACCCCCAAAACAACCGCAAAGCGATTGCAACCAGCTCTGGTCTCCCGGCGCCGCGTTGGGATCGGTAATAACCCCACCCCCTCCTGTATCACCCCCTCCGGTATCACCCCCTCCGTCACCCGATCCCGAACCCCAACGCTCACCGTCACTGCTGCTGCCATAATAACCACCACCATAATAACCACCACCACCATAATACCGATTACCGCCGCCATGATACTGATTACCGCCATGGTTATACGGACGATACCGGGGATGATCCCGCAGCATTTCGGCAATCTTATCATATCTTTCGCGGTCCTCATGCGGTCGATAGATGGGTGGAGGTGGAGGATAATTTTCGTGGTGGGCGCGATTGTGAGGATGGGGGCGTGGTTGGTAATGGGGGTCAGAGCGGATTGGGGGATCGAGGGGGGGACTCTTATGACCCCGGCGGTGTTTAAAATAATCCGGATCATCGGAGGGACTCGGACGAGGTCTCCGATTTTCTGGGGAAAGCGGGTGGTTTTGCACTGGTTTTGTGTTCGTTGCGTCATTTTGGGGGAAACCCTTGGCTTTGGTTCGGGTTAAGGTAGAGGTGAAGCAAGTCAACATTGATGATTTCCGAGGTGAAGGTTTCGGGTGACGAGGACAAAGTTGCTTCCCGGCCGGTAATTTTTTCAGGAGTTGCTGACAAATATTAGGCGAGGGCGGAGCTTTCCTGCTGCGTTTCGATTTACTCCTACTATCTCTGCTCAACCAGCGAGTCAACAGAGATTTCTTACGGTTGCTCTCTTGGACACTCGCAGAGGGTACCATGCGGATTGTTAGTTTCTGGTCCTGGGTTCCGAGCACGTCTTTCTCAAGATGTGTGAATAAGCCACTGATCGCTCTTGAGTCTCCGATCCTCCGGACGATTCCTTCTTTTTGGGCGAGTATATGTTTGCCAATTTCTAAGGAGTTTGAAAATTCTTGAGATTTCGGGACACTTGGAAATTCAACTTTGTGACCAGGATATTCAGAAAAATCTCTTTCCACGAGCTTGTCAACGTCATCTCTCGCATTTGGATGCACCTATGGACAGATAAAAGAGACAACGGTAAGCCAATGAAATCTGTGCATTTTTCAATCAAATGGACTGCATTTTGCAATTTGGAACTATAAATTCCGTCCCGGTTGAAAAACCACGTATGTGACATAAGTTTCCATGTTTTTTCAGATGAGCCAGAATTTATAGTTCCAAATTGCAAAATGCAGTCCAAATGGACCTCGTCTCTCATCATCATGTTACTTCTTACACGGACTGTTAATCATCAGCTCGCGGGAGCAAGTTCAAGAGGTCAAACCGAGACTATTTTCATTCTTTGAGTTTTTTCTGAAAGTGTTTCCAATCAAAGCTACAGACCCACCCAATTAATACTGCTCATTTAAAAAGAAACATTCTCCCAGTCCAAAATATTTTATGTATATTACAGACCCAATTTTTAAATTCTTCCATCCACTGGATTTTTTGCATGCTTGCAAAAGTACTTGTTTCATTTTGAAATTAAAGGTATGTATCCTCCATTAATTTTTTTTCTTTTTAATGACGCACTAAGTTGCACTCAGTCTGGCACAGTCTAATGCTGATTACTGGGTGTTTCATTCCATCAGCGTTCAATAAAAGTTAATGACGTAGCTTCCAAAGTGAAAGGTGAAAGGGTTGTACTTCATCGCAAACGTAAAATTTCATGGTTTCATCTTCGGCAGCAGTATGAAAAAAGTTAAGGAATAAAAGAAAACCCCTCAGCATTATTTTCGCTTAAGC